TGGATCCAGGCAAAAGGGTCTTAAATATTGGTTCCTGTCAGAAAGAAGACAGTGCCAATGATGTAGCTGTGTGTGACCTTCTGCCAGGGCTCTGAGTAACTGGCAGAGCACAGAGCCTATGACTCATTATAAGTCAAATTGCTGTAAGTGGGAACCACCTGTAGTTAAGACAAGCGTCTCATTGAATTTATTAGAGTATGAGAAAACTCATTTAAGAGTGATCTCTTTGATGCAAAGTCCGTAGTCCTCAACTCTTGCTTTCAGTACTTTCTAGGAATTCTCTCTTACCACACCTGTATCTGGTCAAATCTTCTCTTCCAAACCTCCTCTTTGGAGAAAACTGAGATCTGGAATCCGAGACACCTATGGTCACCCCATATTTAGATTATGTATACTTGCCTTCTATACAACATTGTAGATGATGGATTGCGTTTAAAAAATAGAAATTTAAAAAGGGAACCATTTCCCATCAATGTCATGTATAAATCATAAACGAGGGAGCCTTATCCTACCTACTTAGCCTGAGTTCTGTCCCATGTATAGGCACTCAAACTTGGTTTAGAAAACCAAACTTTCCAAAATAGCATCACCATTCACAAAATCTATTTCTCTTTCCCTTCAACTTGTCCAGGGTAGTTTTCACGTTTTAACATTAAAGTTAAATCCTGTCTGGATATTGCCACACATTACTTGACAATTCTCTGTCTCTTCTCTTTTCATTATTAAAGCTTTAAAAGCTCACTAGTTCTTTCCAATTGGTTCCTTTCAGTCCCTCCACTTGGGTCCGAATCAAGCCTTCATTTTCCCTCATTTTATTTTCATATATTTACATTTCAATTTCACTAAAAAGCCTTCTGGGCCCCTCATAACTCTCCTTTCTTTTTATTCCTTCCTAAATTTCCAGCAGCATTAGTCCCCTCATTTTCTCCATGTGTTTTTCTCATGATTTGACTAAAGTTTTTCCGAAGGAAGACAGTAGAGATGAAGTGTCATTTTCATCATATCATATGATGGGTACATAGTATCCACATTAGTTATCAATGATGTAGTTAATCTCAATCCCCTGGCAAGGTAGTGTTGGCAGGTTTTTTTATTGTAAAGACACTTTTCTCCCCCTCCACACTGTATTCATTGGAAGCAAGTTATTAAATGTAACCCATTTTCAAGGGACAGAGAGCTAAGCTCCAACTCCTTAAGAAAAGGAGTGTTAACATGTTATATAGTATTCTTCTGTATGGGAGATTTATATCTTTTCTTTCTTTTATTTGTTTAATAATGTGTTCATATCAACATGGACTTATAGGTGTTTATTTTTTTATTTTTTGCTTTGAGTTACAATCCTATACTACCTCATTTATTTTGCTCTTCAAATTGTTCCATCTTTGGCCATTAGAAGCTTTGTCAGGATAGCTTCTATATTAAAGTTCATAATAATTTCTCCCATTTTATTACCTTGAACAAAATAAGAAAAAGCATACAAGCTGGGCTGTTTTGCCTCTATGTCAAAATTCAATGTATTTATCAACATATTTTATCAATTTTGCATTCATCATCTTCCCTCTGTGCTGACCTTCCTTCTTGCTAAATTTTATTTTTTAACAATTCCTTTATAAAGGTCTACTAATTGATGGTAAAATTTCTTAGTTTTGAACAATTTTAAAAGAATATTTTGTCTTCATTTTTGAAAACTAATATAGCTGGGTATAAAAATTTAAGTTTAAATCTTCAGTCATTTAAAGATATGAATCTACTGTTTTCTGTTATCTACTTTTGCTGACACAAAAATTTGCCTAAAATGTATTAATCTGGGTTTCCCTCCAATCTAGAAGCCATTAAGATAAATGAATTATCCCTCTTGTACGTAAAATTCAACATAATGAGTCTAAATTAAAATTATTTTTTATTAATTCATTTTGCATTCAGAGGGAAGTTTTTATCTAACAAATTCTGGAAAATTATCAAGTATTTTCTATTAGTGTACTGCTTTTCTATCATTCCTTTCAATCCCTTATTCTGTTGTTACCCTCTTTATTAACCTATACACCTTTTACCTGGCCTTTTTTGTCTCTATTATGAAGAACTTTAGATGAAGGTACCTTCCTCCAAATCACTAATTCCCTTCAACTGTATGCACCATTCATGGAATCCATTAAAAGAGTTTTATATTTTTAAAATATACTTTTTTACTTTCAAGACCTCGACTTTATTTCTTTTTATACTTCCTCTTACTTTTTTTAAATTTTTTTTTTTTTTTTGAGACGGAGTATCGCCCTGTCACCCAGGCTGGAGTGCAGTGGCACAATCTCAGCTCACTGCAAGCTCCGCCTCCCGGGTTCTTGCCATTCTCCTGCCTCAGCCTCCCAAGTAGCTGGGACCACAGGCATCTGCCACCACGCCGGGCTAATTTTTTGTATTTTTTGTAGGGACGAGGTTCACCATGTTAGCCAGGATGGCTTCGATCTCCTGACCTCGTGATCCACCCATCTCGGCCTTCTAAAGTGCTGGGATATTACAGGCATGAGCCACCGTGCCCCGCCCTCTTACTTTTTGTTTCACCTTAATTTTACCTAATATTCTATTCTTTTTAATCCAACTTATTTCTTCATTTATCTCTTCAAACATCCTCAGAAACTTTACTTAAAATTTTTGTCAACCTCCACTGAATATTTATATTTTAGATTGTGATTCTGTTGGCTGTAATTTTAGCATTTGACTTCTGTGTAATATCGTTTGCGCACTCGGATGGGGATTTTTTTTTTTTTTTTAAATTTTCCTCTGTACTTACCCATCTCTGTTTAGCAGTCATTAGCTCTAACAGCCTGATACTTCATGATTTCAGTGCTCCTGCCAGAGGAGACACTAGGGATGTCACAGATGTATTCACTAGTCTACTAGGTTCAGTTTATGGTTTCTGAGCTTGGTTATTACTGACCCGGACCATAGCCTACTACAAAACACTGTTGCAGGGAACAGTTAGTTGCCATTTTCCTAAGCCTGCTCATCTAGGGATCAGTGGTAAGATTTAAGTTTGAGCTTTAAGTAATGAGACAGACTTGGGGTGTCCATTTATTGTGATAGAGTTGTTTTTTGTTTGTTTGTTTGTTTTCACCTCTATTAGCACGCAGGGGCCAAACACTTAGATGCCACTGCCTGCTTATCACAGAGTCCAGAAAGTCTCTGACCTCATAACTTTGAGTTTCTGTTTCTGATCTAAAGAGACAGGCTTTAGAGAATGCGTTTTTTTATTTTTCTCTTTTCATATTTTGTTACCCATATTCATTGCATGTTTGAGTAGGGGGATGTAAACAAGCATAAATATACATTTAAAATGTAAGTTTATATGTTTTTAATTGTAGCTTAGATGTAAAAGTATGAACTTTATGTGCTTTGTGGATCCTAGCTGTTCATATCTAATCTTGTAAAAATATTTACAGTCTATTTTTTTCTAAGTAAAAGAATGATTGGTCTGTGTACCATGGCTCACACCTATAATCTCAGCACATTGGGAGTCCAAGGCAGAAAGATCACTTGAGCCCAGGAGTTCCAAACCAGCCTGGGGCAACATAATCATAATGAGACCCCATCTCTACAACAAGATTAAAAAAAATAGGCAGATGTGGTGGCATTGCTTGTAGTCCCAGCTATTCTGGAGGCTAAGGTGGGAGGATCGCTTGAGCTCAGGAGGTTGAAGCTGTAGTGAGCTGTAACTGGACCACTACACTCCAGCCTGAGTAATAGAGTGAGACCTTGTCTCAGAAAAAAAGAAAAAGAATAATTGAACCAATATTAAGTTCTAGACTATTTTTCTACATCCAATAGCAGCAGCAACATATAATGGGTACACATACCGACTGGGTTAAGCATTGCACAGAAGACATTTGCTAGGTTTAGAGATATGTGGGAATAGTAAATTATCACAGTCTTTTCCTTTTCTGAACCAACTTAGAAACAGGATACAGATCAAAATATAATCGGTAAAGCTTAATTGAAGGATGGCTTTAACTTGATTCTCTATCCTTCTGACTTCCTTGGTTAGCCTTGGGACTTGCTATGGGAAGAGCAAGACATTTAGCAGGTCTGCTACATGAACCTTTAAGCACAGAGGATCCATCCCGCCCTCCATCCACCTGGACACACAAAAAGGCCACATATGCTCAATGATTTTTGCCATATTAATTACATTCCACTGGGAAATGTAGGCCAACATTTGTCTACCTTTTCATTCCACCAATCATTTCACCAAAGTGGAAAAAATTGATCCACTTTTTCCCTGGGGAGAAGTCAGTAAGAGATGAAAACAAAGTAACAGCATCCTTCTGTTTACTAATGTATAAGACAATTACCTGGAAGTTTTGTGAAAATGCAAATCCAGTAGGTCTGGGGTCTAGCCTGAAATTTTGCATTTCTAACCAGCTCTAAGTGATGCAGATGCTGGTTTTGAGTAGCGAGTTTCCAGAGCAAGATTCGTGAAGCTTTTACAGGAGAGCCCCAAGATTAAAAAAAAAAAAAAAAAAAAAAAAACTTTGGGAGGCCGAGGCGGGGGGATCACAAGGTCAGGAGAGCAAGACCACGGTGAAACCCTGTCTCTACTAAAAATACAAAAAATTAGCCGGGCGCGGTGGCAGCACCTGTAGTCCCAGCTACTCCGGAGGCTGAGGCAGGAGAATGGCGGGAACCCGGGAGGCGGAGCTTGCAGTGAGCCGAGATCGCGCCACTGCACTCCAGCCTGGGCAGCCAGCGCGAGACTCCGCCTCAAAAAAAAAAAAAAAAAAGTTCTTATAACAACACAAAGATATTACAGTGGAGTTTCCTGGAGAGTACATGTGATGTTAAAATGATTAAATACAGGATAAGATATTAGAATCCAGCTATCTTCTATAAAGAAACTTGTCAATATATCAAACAACACCAATTGTTTCACTATTTTTTTTTTTGGTTTTGGAGAATATAATTATTTGCCATAAAAGTGTTACCTACATTAGGATATAATAGTTGTGGTATTGTTATTAACAAATATTTATTTTTTCAGTTGTAATTTCTAGTGCGGTAAATATTAGCAGATATAATCTACATAAACAAAAGTTCTGGGCGTCCTTGAGAGTTTTTAAAGGCATAAAAGGGTCCCAAAATATTTGAGATTCACTGCTTTCTAGAGGATGGAAGTTTATTTCTCCTTGGTCAATAGACATATAAAGAAAGAGAAAATATGCTCTCCTACTCTTACAGACATGTCAAGAAAATATTGAGAACCCACATGTTTTAAAATACCGCCTTAGCTCAACGTACTTGTGGACATTTTTGAAGGAAAAAAAATTTTGGCTGTGTCTTATGCTCTTTTTAATGGAATGTCAATAAACATTCAGCGAGTTCCTATTCAAGTTCCTTAATATTGGGAAATGGCAGAACAGGAAAACAAGTGAGTCTTAATCCCAAAATATGCTGCATTGCCACAAAAGTAGATGAGTCAGTTTATCCTTGGCTTCCATAATTCCTGGTGTTTTCTTACCCATCTCATGGATGAATACTTGGGAAAGTATTTTCTTGTAACATAGGCCAGTATTTTCTTTATTAAACATATTATTTCTCTTCTATGAGTTTCTTCCTGTCAAGAGAACACATGTGGGGCAGTAAGTCAAACAATGCATTTGTTGATCTCACATGTGGTAAAAACTATAAAATGTTTCTGGAAGTCTAAAAGCAACATTTACTACAGGTATGCCTAGTTTAGCTGCCTACAACTTGCCTTCACCAACCGTAGCTTCGTTGAAATGTTTGCACTCTTGACTCTCTCTCTTCAACCTCATTTTAACGGAACCTCACAGATGTGGTTTTTTGTGTGTAATAACACATTTGGCCATTTTACAACTTCTCCCAAGCATTTATTGATGAGTGAATTCTGCAATGGATGAGCTGCCTGGAGGTGCTATCTCATCTACCACCTTTTCTTCTACCTGTCGGCAGTATAATTGAGATTATTCCCATGTTAGATTTGAGCCATTACTCAATTCCCTTTTTAAATCTATCTGTTTTACTTTATGTCTTAAAACACAACTGTCTTGCACTTATTTATGTTCTCATCATTTCCACCCCCAACAATAATAGCTAACCTTTTTAGGAAGAATATCTCTTTCAAAGGCACACAGTTGTGGCTTTAGCTTTTCTTTAATCAATTTACTTTAGCTGCTTGCTATGTGACAATGAGTATTCAAACCAAGACAAACAAACCAACAAAACCCAGAACAAGAAATGCCATTCAACTGCATAGGCTGATCACATTTCATACTATGAATTGCTGTGTACTATGCATCTAAGATCTTCAGGAAACCACTCAGAGACTGAAAATGTGAATACCATATACACTAATCCTAAGGGTCAAATGTTACATTATGTGATGAGAAAGATGAGAGTCATTGACTTTTCCCTCAAGTTAAAAGCAATCAATACCATTTGTTACTACCTGTATTAGTCCATCTTACACTGCTATAAAGCTATTACCTGAGACTGGGTATTTTATGAAGGAAAGAGGCTTAATTGACTCACAGTTCCACATGGCTGGGGAGGCCTCAAGGAAACTTGCAGTCACAAGTTTGCAGTCACAAGAAGGCCCATCTTTGGGCCTTCTTGAAGCAAGGCCCTTCTTTCATGGCAGCAGGAGAGAGAAAGAGCAAAAGAAGCCACACACTTCTAAACCATCAGATCTTGTGAGAACTCACTCACTATCAAGAGAACAGCATGAAGGAAACTGCACCATGATCCAATCACCTCCCACCAAGTCCCTCCCTCGACACATGGGGATTACAATTCAAGATGAGATTTGGATGGAGCACAGTCAAACCACATCACTACCTGAGTTTTCTTCGAGGTATGGAGCTCTAGAACACAAAAGTTTCTATTAAACTGAGTTATAGATAGTCATGATTACTTTCTTAAGCTATAATTCTTTTTCTTTAAGTTAAACCAATATCACATATGTAACATATGTAACATATATGTAACATATGTAATATATGTATATATATTCTCTCTCCTCACCTAGACTCTATGGGACTATATGAGATTGATTTAATTGAAAATCATTAAACCAATGTTTGTCAAAAAAGTGTAAAGTCCGATGTGCTAGGCACTGGAGGCATGTGTAGATGGAGTCCTCATGCTCTGTGTGACGGCAGCCTGGCATGTGACAGGAGCAACAGAAAAATAAGCACACAAATGGCTTTAACACTATCAGGGACTATAAATACAAAAGGACATTAACGGAAAGGATGCACTGCTTTTTAAAATTTTTCTCCATATGTAGTCCACATAGAAGTCGTGCATCTTTATACACCTTTTTGGATTTTCCACTTATTTGCATCAGACTTTTCTCCAGCCTTAGTAACTGGAATGTCTTAAGCTTCTTTATTCCTCACAGCCTTAGTGATTCTATTCCAAAAACTTCTATCAGAACAACATCAGAGGTAATCTCTGAGGCAAAATTTAAGTGAATATGAAAGAGTTAAAACCCTTAACTGCTATAGTGGGTAATTTAAAATAACAATAATACATTTATTATTTATTTGTCATGTACTAGGTATTTCACACATATTCAAATTCTTAACCTTGCTCACCTTCATAAAAACCCAATGAGGCATGTGTTATAACTGTCACTCTTTTGCAGATGAGAAAAAAAGTACACAAAGTATCTAAATAACTTCCCCAGGATCCCAGATAGTGCCTAGGCTAGGACATAAACTCAGGCATTTTGGCTGCTTGTTTCGGCAAGGTGTGCTCAACCATACAGAAAGTTAAAACATAGTGAATGTTCTCCTTCCATGCCTTGTTGTTTGGTAGAATAATTTTGTTATGATGTTCAGCTAGGCAGTTAGCTCTCACTGTTTAAAAGCCACGCTTTTCTATACTGCAAGGTCACGCACTGAGATGAGGAAGGCTAGCCAAACATTTCTTCAGAATAAACACTGGAGGAAGGTTAATGTCCTTACATTCCAGGATTTTACAGATAATTATGGTATTTAGTAAGACTAAGCAAGCTTAGAATGATAGAATTACAGTAGAAATCTTGGTTTTGATTAATTATGAATGTAAAAATTTTATATTTAGTATACCCACCCCAATAAAAGGCATTGACAATTTTTACATAGACCAGCAGGTAAGTGACATTCATAGGTAAGTGACAACAGAAAAACAGGAACTACAATAATAGAATAAATGTTGCACACTTATTACCTGAGACTACAATTTTTAGGAATAATGTAAGAGATAAGCTTGTTAGTTAACATCACACCAATAACTACACACAGTTTTAGCTCAATCTGTTAATATTAAGTATTCATTCTTATGCTCTTTGATAACAAAAATATTTAGATTATCTAATATATGCAAAGTACTGAGCTAGGGGCTAGACATAACATGGTCAGGACAAAGTAGTATGTTAAGCAGGTTATTTCTGCTTTAGGTGACAGAATCCCTAATTAAACTTGCTTAAACAAAAGAAAGAATATTATTAACATTACTGGATTTGAGGATTCTGATTATTTATCATCCCCTTTTTCTCTCCTCTCTTTTCTACTTTCTCCTGCCTTCTCCCTTTCTCATCTCTGTTCAACTTCATTCTTAGACTTTTCCCATTTGGTGGGATCTCGGAGATAAAATGGCAATCAGCAGAGACTGGTTAGATGTTTCCCCCTCTTTCTTCTTCTTGACTCACTACTGGTTTGTATTTTTCAGCTTCCCACTCCCATCTTTACATCTGAGTGGGGTCATAGGGCTATTACTGCCATGTGGACTATATTTCTGCCAATGGACCAGAAGTATGCTACTTCCAGGAGGAGGCAAGCAAGGGAGAGTGTGTCTTCTCTACTATCTCTTTCTCTTTCTTCCCTTTCTGCATCAGCCTTGGAAGCAGCTGGGGGGAAGGACTACAGGATGGAGCAAGCTTGAGCTCCAACCACATGGATCACTACTGTGCTGGCCATCAACCTACAAGGGACAGTGACAGGAGCAAAGAATACACTTTATGTGAAACCACTGAGAATTTAAAGGTATTTGGTACAGCAGTTCGACTTCCCTTCTTAATACATGATCCTTAGATTGTCTGATCCCAGAGAAAAAGTGCTTTCGGCTAATGGTTCGAGCAAATGTCCAGTGGGCAGAGCTCTTCCCAGAACCATCAGCTCTGGCCAGATGTACGAGGCACTCTGACTTGTTAGGCTTGGTATCCAGTATCCAGATCTGAAGAAAAGCAGTCAGCTTTACTCAAACACATGGATTGACTTTCCTTGGAAAGGTGTGCTTTTATTGTTAGAAAAAAGGATGGTAACGAAGAGCAGCAGGAAAAATATCAGTAAGCACCCACATACATAATTTTAAAAACTAGTTAACATATGTGTTTTGCATATTTTACATGCATCCAGGCATGCCTCCAATTTGCTAGTTACTGAACTAGAAACTGGAGATACCATGGTGAGGAAGACAAGCATGGTCCCTGGTTTCATAGAACATACATTCTATGGCAAAGACGGAAAGAAAAAGAGAAAGAAAAGAAAAGAATGTGGAAAGAAGAAAGAGACGTTAGCCAAAAATAATTCTGAGACGTTATTATCCTTAGCATGCAAAAACTTTACTTATGTAGGAGGGACCCAACCATTAGACTCCTGCCAACAACCAAAAGCAAAAGTGAAATTTATGATAGAAAAGAGGGGAAAAAGAATCTCATAATCTCAAGACACTGTTTTGCATTTTTTGGAAGGTAAACTGGTTGGCTGGAAGCTAGCGGAGACTCTAATCAGGTTACTTTGCTTTTTAATGCTCTGAATACCAGCAATTTGTTCAAGTTATTTATGGATTATCTGAAACTTCTGTGGAGTTTAGCTATACCACATATGTAAGAGACTTTCTCTGTGTCATACTGGCCAGTTTCCCTATGTTAATGCCTCTACCTTTCTTAGATTCAGTCTGCACCATTTTCCTCAACTGAATTTTCTAAAAGAAAGGAAGACACCTACTAAGCTAATAGATGAATGAAATAATTGCTTATATGATTAATGCTTATCAGAAATAAGTGTGAGTCTGAGGTGCAAAAAAATGCTAGAGATTATATAGTTAATTATAAATGTAAATTTAGTAATTTATAGCCAACTATCGGTAATGAATTCTGTGTCACAAGTCAGAATAACTTTTTCAGGTGCCATTCAAAATTCACCTGCAACATTTGGAACCAAAATGACATGGGCCATCGAGGGTCTGATAAACTTTCTGGGCAGATCTGGTGGGGATTTATCTGAGAAGATGATTTTGAACAAGGGCTTGAGTCTCACAAATGAGGGTCCCACAACTGAATCCTTTCCTCTCCACCCCCATTCTGAAAAGATTCTGATGCTCCACCTCCTTGAAGGATGAGGGAGTCTTGTTTTATCACTAACATAAACCGGAAAGGGTATAGATGGATTGGAAGAGGGTCCTGAAATGAGAAGAAGAGAGGAGCAAAAGTGGTAGTCTGGCTCTTGGAAAGAACCACACTAGATGCTATGGGCAAGAGTTAGTTCCCCGAATTGTAAATCAGTCAAAGCCCACTTCCTCTTTTCCTGCCGCCTCAAGCTCATGTGCTCCTATTTTCAAAGGTCAGAGGTGTCAATCTTTTTGGGACCCTGGGGCATTTGGGACCCTGGGAATAGGGTAAAACAGAAGTTTCCAACAGGTCCAGGTTGGGTCAGCTGAAAGGAGAAAAGGGGGAGAGTTGGTGAGTTCCTGGAAGAGGGTTCCTTCCTGGGACTTAGAGTCAAATCTTCATTCAGCCAGTGACAGTGCATTGTCACTTCCTGTTTCCAACTTGATTTAACACAGTAAGAAGCAGAGATGTAGGAAGAGCAACACCTCCTAAGTCAAATAAAAAAGTGAGAAAAAGTTGTAATGTATATACTTGAACCCAGGTCTAGAAGTGTAACACAGGTAACTACTCTTCCACCTGTTAGTCCCTGACTAGGAAAGGTGTGTATGAGAGAGGTATGTAATAGTCTATGGAGAGTCTGAAAAAAGATATATTTTCTTCCACCGACCACATAAGCTACTTGCAATGACCCCAACATCATGGGTAGGAGATAATTACATTTATCAAGAAGCTACAGTTTCCATTTCCCTACTTGCCAGGGGTGAGACTGTAACCAACTGATATTTATCAGCTTTGTGTGAACTTACTGCAAGTTCTTACCTTATTTACCAGAAGAATATATCTAACATGGAGAGACCAAATAGTTTTGAGGAAGATGGTAATATTCTAGAGCTTGAGCAAGGCGATGTTAAGATACAACCTTAACTGTAAAAAAACAAAAATGCAATTGTAGAACCGAGAAACAACTCCTACTACAATTACAGCTACTACTCAGTAAGTAATTTGAACACTTTGCTTGAAATTTGCCATTATGAAAGAAAGGAAAGAAAACCTCAAATGTTTCAAATTACTTCTGCTGGAAATTCCTGACTTTCCATGTGTTTCTAGTAAGGTTTGATTTTTGATGATTTTTGGAAAATAAAGAAAAAATAGAACTCAAGTAACTCATAAAAGCAAGTAATATGTGCATAATTGTGTGAGAAAAGCTAAAACAACATTTCACAGCTGGTCAGCATAAAAAATGACTTGTCGGTTTTACTTTACAGATAACACCTGTATGTCTTAAATAATACATATGTACATTATTCATTTGAAGACTTCTATATAGTATAAAATTACTGTGTATAAAAAATGAAAATCTGGCTTTTCCAGAAATATATTTTCTATAATATTAAGTAAAACAGATTCTAAAGCATATGTTATCCATCACAATAGATAGATTGTTTTGTAACATGTCCTAATCAGATAGCAGAGAAGATGGTTTCGAGTTTTATCAGGCATTCAGTAAGGTTTCCTGAGGGGGGAAATAAAAGAATCTCTACAATACAGGTCTCTAGAAAGTTTTCTTCGTGAAGGCCGAGGATGATTGGTTTGATCCCCTCTTCTATTATCTGAGCTCTAATTAGGATTTCTATCAAGCCATCAGTGCAGCCTAGAGGGAAACGTGAGTTCCAGTGAGTACGTGTGTGACCCATGCGTGCTGACATGTGTTGTGTGTAACAATGCATGAGAGATTGGGTATACATGCATTAGTGCATCAGGATGCATGTTCTGCCATTGTAAACATCAGAGGGGACGGACGGGGGGAAAAGAGCTGGGAAAGGAGTGAACAACGACTATTTAAGTGTAGTTTCACCCTCTAAAAATGAAGAGTTCTTATCAAAGCTAGAATCGTTCCCAAAGTGTAACCTTTGGTTTTGAAGCAAAGCCCTCTAAAAACTAGAATTTGCAAAGTGAGTGTCACGAAAGGAAAAAGCTCATCCAGAGTCTTTAAGGCATTCATTAATGGTCCCACGCAGTAGTGGAGCTTAGTAGTGGAGATCTTACTCGCAGAATCCACACACCCTGCTACCACCAAGGAGGCTGATACTAAAAGGGTTTCCAATTCAGCAGGCCTAGGGTAGGGATCTTGATGTGGGAAAGAAAAACGCAGAGTCGAGACTGTAATTCTTCTACATGGGAGGTAGGGAGCAGGTGTTTGGCTGGAAGGGAATATTTTACTGTCAGATATTTCCTCACTCTTACCATTAAAATCATAGTTTGGGGTGGGGGTAGGAAATGACACTTTAGCAAATGGAAATTTGAGAAAATACTACTTACAAGAGTATACAAATCTATGGAGTAGAGCTATATTGGAAAACCAGGGCTCAGAGCACCTGCAGGAGTAATTCTCTTGCTTTCTCTCCCTCTATATTTGTATTTTCCAGTTTGTTTTCTGTGCATCTATTATACAAATGGCTCCATCTCTAAACTGTGAGTTTCCTCCAAACATTACGCATGACTTGTTCATCTTCTCATGCCTCCAGAGAGCCTCATAAAGGACTTTGCAGTAGGACCTTGACAGATACTTGTTAAGCTGGATACGTTGTAAGAGGTGTTGTAGAATGAGCCCACATTAGGAGCTGGGAGATTTAGGTTTCAGGGCATTCGGCCACTACTGGACTTTTTATCCACAGGCAAGCCATTTTGGCATCTAGGTCTCAGCTTTTCACTGTTAGATGGAGGAAGTTGCCCCATCCGATCTCCAAGATAAATTCTAACATTCCGGAGTAGTAAGTCCTTCTTCCTTTTGGGAAATGTACAATTGTCTATCAATGGTATTTGTGATCATATACTGTATAAATTTCTCATTAAATATGCAGAAATAAAACTGTTACTTAGAATAAGTAGCAATTAGTCTACTTAAACATGACTGCTAATATATTTTTCTTTCTACTGTAAAAATAAAAAGTTCAGCTACTTTTATCCAGCGCAAATCACTTCCTTAGAGTGACAGATAGTAATTTTTTCCACAACGTAGCAACTCATCCTAATCCACTAGTGTAATGTTTTAAAAACACTACCAAATGAAGTTTCTAAAGTGTCCAAGTTCCTTTCTAAAAAAAAAAAAAAAAAAATTATATCCAAGTAGAAATTTTCTGAGATATAAGAATTTACTCATTGTATTCATAAGATTTAGTATTTATTTCCTTGTGAATATGTAGCTCTAGTAAATATTCTGTGCTTGATATTCATGTTTGGAACTTTATCTGTGTCTATCCTATTCTCCCCACATATTTTTAAATATTTGCATAAACTGAGTACAAATGTCACTATATAATTAAACTTAAAGGCATAAAATTCAGATTCAGGATTCAGCACAGTGCTTGTGAAAGAGGAGAAAAGCTTCATTAAGAAGAAAATTCAAGCTGGTACCGTGTCTCATGCCTGCAATCACAGGTAATCAGGAGGCTGAGGTGGGAGAATCCCTGGAGGCTATGAGTTCAAGACCATCAAAGAAAAGATAATCTGTTGGAATTTCCTGAAATCCTAAATAACAAATCTGTCTGTGAAAATAATTGTAATTAACAAATTTTAACCACTGTCGCCTAAAATGCCTGTCTATCAAAATGATTCTTTGACATGAACAATGACGAAATGATTAAATTTATTGAATCAAGGTTGTATTAGAAATGGTGCTTACTGCCAAATATTGGACCCTTTTTCACTTTAACTGGTTAAAAAGATAAAGTTTGCTATTTGTAGGTGCAAAGCAAAGACCACGAGAGAGAATGGTTAACGCAAGGCTCAAAGGCCTTGGTGAGATAGAGAATATGGCTGGAATCTCCTATCCTGACCCATCCAGCTGTTAGCACTGGCCTGGGGCAACTGGCCACTGAGAGGCTGAGGCATTGTGGAATTATAAAGCAATGGCCTTCAGGAATAGTAAATTCCTCCCTGGTCCTGATGTATTTCAGAATCCATCAGGGGCTGTTGGGTGTCCCTAAGGCCCCAATGATTTATTAATTTCTAAGTTAAAACAAGATGTTACATTGGCCCCTCACAAGACTCCAGAGGGTGTTCCAGGCACAGAGCAATAGGCATTGTTGCCAGGCAATTCTGAAATTCCTTCCAGAGGATTATTTCCACTCTAAGAACCTCCATCCAGCCCTGGACCCTGATCTTTCCGTTCCAGAGAAAGTGATCAGCTTGGGGCCTTGCTATCCCCTGCCCTGCTATCCCCAGCATCACCAAAGTTAAACGTAGAAAAAGATGGAAATGTACAAATTACACCACATTCATTTTTCATTGGTGCATTAGTTAATTAGCCTGAAGAATAATTTGGGGATGGAGGGAGCTCTTACCCCTACAGTAGACGGTAGACCTTCTAATCATAAGTCGTGGGGTTTTCCTTCTCCCTTCTTAGAATGGTAATTAGAGGAAACAAAGAGGTCAGAGAAAATGAGTAGCAGTGATAATGCCACCCGCGTACTAATAAGCACCAATCTTCCTTCCGCCGAAAGTATTCTTTTTCTTCTAAAAGGAATTTCTGAGAATGAAGGCAGGTCAAGGCCTATGGCGATAAGTGGTTGCTCTAGAAGAGACAAAAACAGATAAAGGAACTTATTATTAAATTATCATTTAAGCAAAGAAATAAAAGTGTGAGCACAAAATTTTAAAATCTTTCGGGAAAAAAAATGAGCGGAATTCCCTTTAAGAGTTAACTCTTTCCCGCCCTGCCTTTTTAGAGCAAAGGAAGTTCCAGTGGGCTGGGATTAAGGGACAGATTGTGGATCCTGACGAAAGGCGTGCTGGAGAAAGCTGGGAGCCCGCCGTTTGCACACAAAGCTGCGGAGTTCCCAAGCGGCGGGCGTTGTTGCCCCGGGGTTCCGCGAAGCGCCAGGAAGCGCCCTGGGCTCACCGCTCTGCTGGTGGCCGGGAGAAGTTAGTCACCCGGAGCCCGAATCTGGCGAGCGTCAAAGCACTAAGAGGCTGGAGAATGGGGAGGGAGGAAACCGGGTGCCGGGACGGAGGGGAGGAAGCGAAGGGAACGCGGTGGGTAGGGGACGCATGTGAAGTTGAAAAGCTCTGGCTGGTGGAGTTGCACGGTCTGCGAGGTCAGAGCGCACGGGTGTGCAAAGAGGAAAAACTTGCGGCAGGAACTTCCCACCGAGGGCGAGGAAAGCAGGAAAGAAGGAGGCAGGGAGAGACTTGAAACGTCTCAATAACTTTAAAAACACACCAGAACACCCGTTCAGGAGATGAGGTAAGCCAAGGTTAGCCAACCCCAAATGGTTGTGAAATATCAGACAGACCCGGAGCCGCTGTGGCTTTAAAAGTGGCCAAGGAAATCTGTTTTTCTTGCCCCATTACTTTTTTTTCCCCCTTGTCCCTCCTTCCACCTCGCCGGGTCCCAGTCCCTTTCTCCTACTTCGTCTCCCTTTCCTCGATCACCCTCCTCTTTTGCCCTCCCCCATCTGATTAGGCGCGGTCTGGGAAGGGTGGGAGTGGTGGGGGAAGCTCTCCCTTTAAGAGGCAGCGTGCAGTGACGAATTGTTGAAATTGCCATTGCAGGATGGCATGCCGCTATAAATTCATTGTTCCACCTCCTCGCATCTTCACAGCGCTCGCGCTGCTCTCGGCGCTCGCAGCGGCCGACTGGGGATGACGGCGGGCAGGAAGACACCGCAGCCGAAGGGACACAGACACGCCGCTTCACCAGCTCGCCTCAGGCTGCCCCCTGCATTTTTGTTTTAATTTTTATGGCTTTTTCCCGTCTCTTTCTTCCCTTCCTCCTGGTCCCAGCAGAGCCAAGGAAACCCACAAAATAAGAAAGGAAGTGGGCCCCGGAGCTTGGAACCTCCGCAGCCGGCTTGTCCAGCGCAGCGCGGGGGCGGGAGGCTGCGCGCACCAGTTGCCAACCCGGTGCGCGGTACCTTTCCTTACTTTTCTTGGAACAGCCATCGTGCCTGCATTTGGTGGTTTTTTGGTTTTTGTTTTTTCCCTTTTCCCTTATTTGCTGAATCTCCACTATCCGACTTTTTTTTTTTTTTAATTTTTTTTTTTTTTCCCCTCCTCTTCTTTCTGGAGCACGAATCCAAACATTTTCCCAAGCAACAAAGAAAAGTTCGCACGCTGGCACCGCAGCCGGGACAGGCTGGCGCTGCTGCCGGGCCCCCTCCCTCCGACACTTGACTCAATCCTGCAAGCAAGTGTGTGTGTGTCCCCATCCCCCGCCCCGTTAACTTCATAGCAAATAACAAATACCCATAAAGTCCCAGTCGCGCAGCCCCTCCCCGTGGGCAGCGCACTATGCTGCTCGGGTGGGCGTCCCTGCTGCTGTGCGCGTTCCGCCTGCCCCTGGCCGCGGCCGGCCCCGCCGCAGCACCTGCCCAGGATAAAGCCGGGCAGCCTGCGACTGCTGCAGCAGCCGCCCAGCCCCGCCGGCGGCAGGGGGAGGAGGTGCAGGAGCGGACCGAGCCTCCCGGCCATCCGCACCCCCTGGCGCAGCGGCGCAGGAGCAAGGGGCTCGTGCAGAACATCGACCAACTCTACTCTGGCGGCGGCAAGGTGGGCTACCTCGTCTACGCGGGCGGCCGGAGGTTCCTCTTGGACCTGGAGCGAGATGGTTCGGTGGGCACTGCTGGCTTCGTGCCCGCAGGAGGCGGGACGAGTGCGCCCTGGCGCCACCGGAGCCACTGCTTCTATCGGGGCACAGTGGACGGCAGTCCCCGCTCTCTGGCTGTCTTTGACCTCTGTGGGGGTCTCGACGGCTTCTTCGCGGTCAAGCACGCGCGCTACACCCTGAAGCCGCTGCTGCGTGGACCCTGGGCGGAGGAGGAAACCGGGCGCGTGTACGGGGATGGGTCCGCACGGATCCTGCACGTCTACACCCGCGAGGGCTTCAGCTTCGAGGCCCTGCAGCCTCGCGCCAGCTGCGAGACCCCCGCGTCAACACCGGAGCCCCACGAGCGTCCTCCGGCGCACAGCAATCCGGGCGGACGCGCAGCACTGGCCTCGCAGCTCTTGGACCAGTCCGCTGTCTCGCCCGCTGGGGGCCCAGGACCGCAGACGTGGTGGCGGCGGCGGCGCCGCTCCATCTCCCGGGCCCGCCAGGTGGAGCTGCTTCTGGTGGCTGACGGGTCCATGGCGCGGTTGTATGGCCGGGGCCTGCAGCATTACCTGCTGACCCTGGCCTCCATCGCCAACAGGCTGTACAGCCATGCTAGCATCGAGAACCACATCCGCCTGGCTGTAGTGAAGGTGGTGGTGCTAGGCGACAAGGATAAGAGCCTGGAGGTGAGCAAGAACGCGGCCACCACACTCAAGAACTTTTGCAAGTGGCAGCACCAACACAACCAGCTGGGAGATGACCATGAGGAGCACTACGACGCAGCTATCCTGTTTACTCGGGAGGTAGGTCCAGTCGGGATGCGGGGGTCCCAGCGCTGGGATTAGGAGGTAGGTGGAAGGGAATCTTGCTGGTAGCTTTGCTGCTTCCTCAAACCTCCTGCAGCTATGGATGTGTTTAACTACTTCTTGCAGGAAATCCAACCAGCCTTCAACTCTGCTCCTGTATTCAGGTTAGCCCCGCAAAAATTTTTGCCTGAAATGACAAGACCTGCTTAGGTAATGATGAAGACTCAGTCATGCTGTATGTCATCTAGTCTGAGGTGCTGTGGCATAGGAACGTAAACATAAGAAGGCATTAGGATGCTTGGGGAAATGATACAGTTGAATGGGGAAAAGAAAGGAAAACAAAGTTGCCTTTGGGATCATGGGTCTTCTTTCCAGTGAAAATAAAATATAACTTTGTTCAACCTAGTGGAAAGGGCTGGATGGCTCATTTACGGTAGTCACTGTTATCCGATGACCTTCTTTTGTAAGTGTCCACACCTTTTTACTAGAATCCCTTGTGTTACACAAAGGATGGGAAAAGTTTCTCAAGGACTCTTTTTCCGGGTTGGATTCCTAATGGAGTTCTTACATGTCCACCTTGGAATCTCAGTTCCTGGGAAGGAAGGAATGTGGGCGGGCCAGCAGGGTATAGAGACCCAATCAGATGAGAGGACAAACTTGTGAGGTTCCTTAACAGCTCCTCTGCTTAGTCGACCAGTACCAGTGCGTCGCAAGCACTGCCTAGGCCAACTCCGCCGCCTAGGGAGGGTCACATCCCGTTTGCGTGTTTGGGTTTTGGATGAATATGTTTCCGAAGCCCCAGTGCAGAAGATCTGGGCGAAGAGTCAAGACAGGAGGAAGAAATGTTTTCTCAGCATTTCCCCCTTTTAAGAAAGATGGTTATGGGGAAGGAAAGAAATGGATCTTTAGGGCTCAGAGGCTCTGGGAGGAACGCAGTATCTATTTACACAGTATTTGACCACCACGTTACTGTGACATTTACACAAAAAGTCTGGGTTGGTTTGGGGCCTGGCTTGCGCATAGTTCTAAGCCTCAGTTGTCACAACTCTGCTCTGATTGGCAGTTTTAAGTCGTGCCTCTTAAATGCCTGGTAAGAACTGACTTCTAAAGCTCATTCTTGAAGTGTTTCAGACCCATCCAGAATAAAGGATTACAAACTTTGAAGTGTTATGTAAAATCATGGCATGAAATGAAGCAAACAGAACAAGGATAGGAAATTAAATGACGGGTTGCAGGAGACTTTAGAATCACACAGCTTCACTACCTAGTTCTTCTATTTTTACCAAGGCACCCCTGGTATGAAGGAGAAGTGTTGATAAATTTGGACTAGAGAAACACTTGTGGTTCGTAGGGTGGACATTAATGTAAACCACATGTAAACAAAGATGCTGGAGGGCGGCAGTTTAGGGAGAGCCAGGCAGTGCTCAGTGCTGTGCACAATGGAAAAAATTTTCTTCCTCATTAAGTGATTTTCTGGAAGCCATCCTTTAATTCCTCTGCACAACATTAGTCTTTGAAGCGGTAGAACATTCATTTGTAGCCTTCCTTGCAAAGCGAAAAGCAAAGTTCTGTAAAACTATCCATTTCTTGTTTGGTTTCCAAGCTCCTTTTTTTTTTTTTTGGTAAGCAACTTTCCATATCTAGGGTTCCTTGCTCTGCTACATCACAAGAGGATGCCAAGAAGGAGGCTTTGGAGAGTTTATGGAAGGAGGTTCTCTAAAGGAAGAGGAAGAAATACTCTTGTAAGCACACTGCACTAAGGAGTGGGTCATTTTAGTGGTTCACTTTCATTTTTAAATACAAATCCACATTTCATAATTTTAAAATAAATAAAAATTAATAGAAGGTCTGTTACTTCCTACCTCCTGCCCCATAATGTTACTCATTGTTTCCCAGAAAACAGGAAACTACTCAGTGATTCTCAACGATTTGTCGATTACTTTTTCTGAATTTGTTTTTTGTTTGGATAGTTAACTGTCCCTATTTTTCCAAAGTCTGGAACCCAACAGCATATTTTAAATAGATAAAAAGCAAGGGACAAATAAATTAATGGCCCATCTTAATTTTTGTCAGTATTATAAGAACATGCATTTTTCAAACTAGGCTACACACGGAAAATATTTCACATGGGCCCTCTCTGGCCTCCTTGCCAAGCAGAAGCATACTTTTAGGAAAGCAAATTTCATTTGTGGTTGGCCCTGTAGTATATACATCTAACTTCACAGGAAGCAAATATTTGAAATGCGTGTGTATTTTCAATAGATGCGCCCAATTTAAAAGAGTGTTACTAATTAGGGGGCTGAAAAAAATATTTCAAGGCATTTATGCAGCATTCATTTGAGACTCTTTCACAATGCAAAGTTAATCTCTGCCTAACACTTCAGAGCACGGAAAAAAAAAAAAAAAAAAAAAAAAAATGCTGGAGAAGAGATGATCTGAGGTCTTCCATCTCATGAAAATCAGGTATCTTAAGGCCTGAAGAAAAACTTTCAGAGCTATTTCCTTTTCAATGAGAAATACCCAGAGTTGGCACCAAGATTCTACTTTTACAACTCTGTTTTGAATGTAAGAAGTGCGTTGCTTAGCAGCCAGACGCCAAGCCATGAAATCCATGTTTTGATGGGCTCTGAGTCCTGTTCAAATTTAGGTCCAGATGTCTTCTCCTAAATTGCTTGTTTTTCAAGCATGAAGCGAATGTATGAGGATATGTTTTCTACCTTTGTTTACTAGCTGAGGCCACCTTGAAAGTTGCATCTGGAAGTCAACAGAATAGAGCTAGTAACTCATTTATCAAAGGAACACACTTCACTGTCAGGACTGTACCCAGCACTCCAGTACTATTCTAATTAGAGAGAGTTAGCACCAGTCAATTTCCTGGCATAGAAGCTGTTTTCATTCTGAAACGGCACTAATGCTGGAATTCACACCACTTCTGCCATCAAACAGTAGAAATCCAATCTCCCCAGGATTTAACTTTGCTTTCCAGAATCCTTTCCTTGTTCCGGACGTCCTCTTTTATTTTAAGATAATTTCTTCAAAGACAAACTCTTACAGTCGTCTTTTTTTTTTTTTTAATAGACCATTTGCTCTTTAGAAACAAAAGCCTACTTGCTTGACAACAAAATAGGAAATTGTTTAACATCCCTTCACCCCTGCATGAAAGCAGCAAAAACCCTGACTCTTTCATAGATTGAAACATTGAATTAAAATCGAACCAACTAAGAGATTGTGCAATATAAAAAGCTAATTCCTTTTCATTAACTATCAAGATGCCAGTTGATAGATCACTGTCTCAGCTAAAACTCTCTACATTCTGCCTTACAGTGCTAGGGCCGGGTCACCACACAGGGCATTTCTCCTTTACCACATGGCTCCTGGCTTGATTCTGACAACAGGGGGCACTAGAGGAAGACCAGAAGTTTGGAAGAGGGAGAGGGATGTGCTTTTCCTTATTGGCTTGCTGCCTAGACTGACTAATTCAGTCACATATTTGAGTTGAAATCTCATTTAAAGTCAAAGTGAACTCTTGTCAAGGTATCAGAGCCTATAGGTCAATCCTAATCAATAAAAGGATAAATAACTCAGAAATGGGGAGACTGTAGCAGACTAAGCAGCTCTAGTTAACATTTTTACAATAAACTGTAAGGGATGTTATGCAAATCTAAAATCTATGCAGTACCTGCCTATATGCACCTCCTACGTGTGAGACTCATGTAGGCAGTTTTAGGTAGCGAGATAGAAATACCTGCTCCCTGCCCACTAGGCACATCCCTGGCAGAGAGGAAACAGATACATGTGGAAATCGCTCTGATGTTAGGAAAACTCTGATAATTCCCATGCTGAGATATAAACAAAGTCTGTGAAAGGAAAAGGAAGGTAACAGTTAATTCTGCCTATGGACCTTTATCTAGGTCTCATTGCAAATGTAGAATTGAATTGATCCTCAAAGGATTGATAGGTTGGATTTAGATTCAGCCAGCTGTTATTGGGCATTTCTTATGTATTATCCATGGCCACAAACTATTTTACAGTGAATCATTTCAACAATCTGCAACCATCTTATAATTATCTTGACAGAATTCATGTGAAGAGAAACAAAGATAAACTTCTTAGAGTAACAGCTAACAAATGGCAGACAGAGAAGACAGTCCTGTCTAGTGCTCTGTAAACTAAAAGCATTGTCACAAATTTATTCAAACCTTTAATACGCTCCTCATAGGCAGAGAGGGATTAAAAAGTAACCCCTTTCTTAAGAATCTATTCCTGGAAACAGACAGGGAAATGGTCATTGCTGTACAGCATGATGACTCTTACAGTAGATGTATTTGGCAGGTATTATGGAAGTGCATTAGAAGGTTGCCACTCCATCTGAGTTCAATTTTGCAGAAAGAGTGAGAGTTAGCCAGATACGTAAGGAGGAGATAGGCATTGCAGACATCAGCAAACCATCATGTTCAATGGGGAATGGTAATAGATTAGTTTGGAGAAGATAATAACAGCCCAACTATGGAAAAAAAAAAAAACAAAAAACTACACACTATGTCTATTAGTCTGTTCAGACCACTGTAACAGAATATTGTAAAATGGGTAACTTTAACAACAGAAGTATGTCTTCTCACAGTTCTGGAGGCTGGAAAGTCCAACACCAAGGTTCCAGCCAATTTGATTTCTGGTGAGGGCTGTCTTCCTACCTTGTAAGTGGCCACCCTCTCACTAAGACTTTCCACTGCCTGCAAGTAGAAACAGAGAGTGAACACTCTTGGGTATCACTTCTTCTAAGGACACTCATCCTATCTGATCAGAGTCCTGTCCTCGTGACCTCATTGAACCTCATTTTCCTCCTTACAGGCTCTATCTCCAAACAGAGGAGTTTTGAGAGGACACAGTTCAGTCTACTCCACCATACTGACAAGTTTTAACTGTAAATTAAGTGCAATGGCAGTCACTGGAAAGAACCCTAGCAGGAAGACAGCAATGATCAGAGGTGTGTTCTGAAA